CTGATGCCTGAATGCCCTGTCAGACCAATTGAATAAGGGGACTAGACATCTATATTGAAAAACAAAAAACAAAAAACAAAACCCCAACTCTCTAGCAGAGCTAAATGTCTCAGGGTTGAAAATCACTGCTGGCCCAAATATCTCAATACTCAATACATTATAAAATTTCAGGAGCTTACATGTAGGGTGACAGCAAATAGAAGAGGGAATAAGTTGTAGAAGAGCTTACATCTCTGCTTTGGTGTATTTGGTGGAGGGCATTGGTCAGGGAATTAGGTCTTGTTACTACCATCACCTGGAATAGGGAGCTCACTGTCTTTTAAATGGTTAAAACTCCAGGGGAGGTGAGGTGATGGGTTCTGGGAATGGGATGTCAAGCTGTGTCATTTGCAATGCTGTGTTTTTAGGAAATACTCCTCTTAGAGTGCCTCCCTTGAGCCTGCTGGTTTGGCAGCTTTACATCCAGCACTTAGCTACCCATCAGACCTCCCTCTGATCTCAGCAGAAGACAGCTCTATCGGCAAAGGCAGCGCAAAAGCCAGCCCCTACAGTGGGCTGCTGGATCGTCATACCCACACAGGTGGTGCCCATCCTGGGTAGGCACCTGCTATGTGAGTGTTAACTGAGTGGGTGGCTCCCATCTCTTCCATAGCCCTTGTAGAAGACTCAAGATCACAGCGTCTTGGAACTGAGGGGCTCAGGAGATGTGTTGGATCACTCCACGCAGTGGGGGAGACTGAGGCCCAGAGAGACCACCCAGACAGGTGCACAGGGTTGGGGTGAAGCAGCTGCCCACAGTGCAGGTCCTCATGCCTAGGTTAGGGCTTTTCCCATCTTTTTTTATTCTCTCCACTTAAAAAAAATTATTTTAAATGTTTCTGAGTCATATCCACTTTTTAAAAAATTCCTTGGTTTCCCTGGCTTTCTCTTTCTCTTTCCTAGCTTCCTTCTGACTCCATCCTCTCCCATTTTCCCCTGTTTTTCTTCTCGATTTTGTCATCTAGCTCTTATGTTCTTTGTTTTGCTTCAATCGAATTGCTCTGACAGGAAAAGATGGTTAATTTTTCTCTGGCTCAAGCAATCTGTTCCTGTGAATAAGGTGACTGTTAAAGTTTGTGATCTGTAGTTTAAAAATGTAAAAAATTAGGTAAAAACAGAAAAAAAAAATAATAGGAAAATGGGTGAAAAGAAAACCCAAACTTCACCATTTCTGAACTCCTTCACAGAGGCAGATACCGTCAGGTGGAGAGGGGAATGAGGCCATTGTTTTCCAAACTCTTCACAGATGGCAAGAGATGATGTTGGACAATGAGATTGCAGTGTGAAAGCTCATTTGAAGAAAACTTCTTGTGGCATCTCAGCAGGAGAGGGTTTTTATGAACAGGATGGTTATTGCCTGCCTGGCTGGAATTTTTTATTTTCTGCATCGTTCTATTTGAAATCATGGGGCTTTGACCAGGGGATATTTCCCTCCATGTGTGTGAGATTTTGTATTTGTGATAATAAGTTCCTTCTCTCCAGACATTTTAGGATGCAAAAATGTACTGAAGTGACATGTGTTTTTTCCTCAGATATTACCAGATTAATCTCTATAAAAGCAGAAAAAGGATAACATGTAGATCTGAATGTATTTTTTGTTCAATGTCTTTTCTGCTTTCTGAAACTTCCTGGAAAGAAGAGATTATTATGAAATTCTCTAGAAGGACAAAAGCTTTGTTCCAAGCTTGGGGATAAAATGACCCCTTAAAGTATTCTCTAACAGGCGGCAGTAGAGGTTGTTCATTTAGTTTTGGTGTTCAGTATCCATCCATTCACCCTGTGTGGGATCCTCTCTTCTCCACACTCAGGTCATTTAGTGAAATAAAGCTGGTCTTATGCCCAGTTAGGGAACATATAACCCAGGCTCAAGTCACGTGAGTGCAGTCTTCTCCTGCCCGCGACGACTGGTTGGAGATTGGCATGTGATGAGACTCCAGAGGGGGAAACATGTCCTGTTTTTCCACTTGAACCTAAAGGGAGATGTGCTGTAGTTGTAGCCAATTATAAAGAGAAAGCCCATTTGAGAGTGAACTGACACAGAAGATGAAACCTGATTGATGGAAAACAGATAATATACTCAGAGAAGACTTAGTTGGGCAGAGTTGGGGATAAATTAGTGAAGATCAATGTGGGCTGAATTGTGCTCTCCCTGCCACCTCCAACTAAAATGTTGACGTCCTAACTCCGGGTACCTAGGAATGTGACTTATTGGAAATAGGGTCTTTGTAGACATAATTAAATAGTCAGTTAAAAATGAGGTCATGCAAGAGTAGAGTAGGCCCTTAATCCAAGATGACTGGTGTCTTTATAACAAGAGAAGAGACACAGGGACAGACACACACAGAGAAGAGATGCCATGTGAAGACAGAAACACACATGGAAAAAGGCTGCATAGGCCAGGCGCAGTGGCTCATGACTGTAAACCCAGTTCTTTGGGAGGCTGAGGCGGGAGGATTGCTTGAGGCCAGGAGTTTGAGGCCAGCTTGGACAACATAGAGAGACCCTGTTTTACAAAAAGTAAAAATTAGTCGGAAGCGGTGACATGTTCTTGTACTCCTAGCTACTTGGGAGGCTGAGATGGGAGGAGGATGGCTTGAGTCCAGGAAGTTGAGGCTGCTGTGAGCCATGATTGTGCCATTGTACTCCAGCCTGGGTGACTGAGACCCTGTTACAAAAAAAAGAAAAAAAGAAATAAAGTGTCATATGACAAGTGACAATCAGGGCAGAGATTGGGGTGACACATTTGCAAGCCAAGGAGTGTTGAGGATTGCTGGCAAATGCCAAAAGCTGGAGGGGACAGGAAGAGCCTGCAGAGAGAGCATGGCCTTGCCGATACATTAATTTTAGACTTTAATCTCCAGAACTACAGACAATATACTTCTGTTCTTTAAAGCCACCCAGTTTGTGGTACTTGGTTATGGCGGTCCTAGGAAACTAATACGAAAATACATAGACAATGTAGCATGTGAAGAAAATACTATTTATTTATTTATTTATTTAATTGAGATGGAGTCTTGCTCCATTGCCTAGGCTGGCGTGCAGTGGTGTGATCTCGGCTCACTGCAACCTCCACCTCCCGGGTTCAAGCAATTCCCCTGCCTCAGCCTCCTGAGTAGCTGGGATTACAGGCACACACAATGCCTGGATGTTTTTTTTTGTATTTTTAGTAGAGACAGGTTTCACCACGTTGGCCAGGCTGGTCTTGAATTCTGACCTCAAGCGATCCACCCATCTCAGCTTCCCAAAGTGCTGGGATTACAGGTGTGAGCCACTGTCCCCTATGAGTTTTTTTTTTTTTAGATTCTGGGGAAAACATAAACTTGTTCAGGAAAGGAAAGGTGAACAGGATATACCACATGGCTTTGTCAAGAATTTAATAGTCATAGTTCTATAAATATTGATTACTGCTCTTGCCAAAATTATAACATACTGGGGAATATATATGTGTGGTGGGGCTGTGTATGTGTGTGCGGGTACTTATGATGTCATCTTCCATAGAGCAGAGTCAATATATGATGCTTAAACTAAAAAATCAAGAGGCAGCAACATGAACATGTTACTTAGAGATACAGAGGTAAAAAGTAAATGGTTCATTTAAAAGAGCTGGGAGTGTCTGCCGTCCGGGAGCAGGAAACAGGAGGTAGGGACTGCTTGGACTGCTTTAGAACGATTTGACTCTTTATATTATGTGCATGAATTACTTTGATATAAAGAAAAACTGCTTTAAAAAGAAGAAAATTTGAGCCTATGAAATAAGCTACTTGTAGAACTAAGGCATGTGATGACTTTGGATAACAGTGTGACATTAGATACATTTATTTTGGGGCTAGTTGCTAGTACCTCTGTTTTCTTGGCAGTGAGGGGGTAGGGGTGGCAGGGAGGGGTCAAAATTCCTCCATATAGCCTTTATATCTCCTCTTCTCCTATATTCAAGTCCCACCCTTAAAAAAGAATAAAAACCTCCATTACCTTAAGTTTATAATTACTGTTTAAAAACATAAAGTTCATTTTTACAGGGATCTTTCCGTAAGACTGAAGGAGGTTCTAATGATGAAATTTCCTCCTATGTATATTTTCTTGGGGTAGAAGTCACAGGCACTTTCTTTTCCCACTGGAATTTTGAGTCGCATATGTTTGTTTCTGACTAGTAACTAAGAACTCAGTGTCCTTGGCTTCTCACACTGACCTTAAGGCAAATGTCTTTGAACCGTCCACTCCAGTCTGACAATCCTCCTGAGGAATGGTCCAGCCTGCACTGCTGCTTTTTACCACCAGGGGGCAGTGGGGCCATGAGTGCCCAGGGAGTTGGGGAAAGATGCTTAGCACCTGGCGGGTGGGAGGAAGTGTCTCTCAGTGTTTGCACTTAAAGCATCTCAGTAGCTAGATATTTCATTGGTACAAATGGTATTTTCTTCTAAATTTTGTGCAATCCAAAAAGGCAGGAAGTTCGATCTTAATGCATTTGCCATGGCCATCTATTTTGCTCTGAGCCAGGAATTCATTAGGAAAACGAAGAGAGTTGCAAGAATAACTTTAGATGGACATTTCCCCATTTTCCTACTTGTAGAATAGGTTTGGTACATGTTCTGAAAGAACACGGTGTCAGTTGAAATAGTGCTCTGCTTTCTTCCCTGTTATTCCAAAATAGATGTGCTTCTCACACACATGGATAGACCATTTACTCCTGATTTGTATCTCAGGGACAAATCTGACTTATTAGCACCGTTATTTGTAAACTGCTAACCCGGTTCCCTGTGCTGTTGTAACGCTGTCTTGATGGGTTGCTGTGAAAATGTGAAGATGTCTGTCAGGCAGGAAAAATTATGTAAAAATGATGTGGGTATAGAAAATGGGATCGACAAAATGTAATAAACTCCTCCTGGGCTGAAGAGCAGAGCTGCATATGTAATGAAGCACTTTAGGATTACGTCACCTTTTATATAACATCTGGCAGTGACTTTTATTTCAGAGCTAATTTGAAGAAGCCAGGCGCTTTTCTCTTCCCCTCCCCAAGACTGCCTTTATCTGAAAGAAGAAAGAAGGCACTGTTACATTTTGCATGCAAAGAAAGCCAGAGTGGCTAGATTACTCCCTTAGGGTAATGGAGAAAGGAAAAAGAAATTGAAAAAGGTCAGGTGAACAAAGCAGAAGGAATGAAGAGGTTTGTGTGATTCTTAGTGAAATTGGACCAGTCTAAGCAACCAGACAGGTAATCTGGGTGACTCTACCCCTCCTTCTTCCCTCCTGTGCCCCTCCCTGGGCTGTGGCTCTATAGATATGACCCAAGAATGCTATGGAAATAGCATTTCCTTAAATATTTTGTCTGAAGTGAAGGGTTGAAAAAATTATTGAGATAATTCGGGAAAATCCTAAAATTTGTTCCTTTAACCTTTGAGAAAAAGCTTAAAGCCGAACACCTTTCTCCCCCAGTACTATCCATACACTGATCTATCACCATAGATTATTCAGATGGTCAACTTGCTGCTTTAATTTGTCTGTATAGGCAATGGTGAAAAGCCTTTCATGAAATCGAATGGGAATTTACTCCTTCAAAGCCAGGGACACAGGAGGGGTGAAGACCCTCTTTGCACTTCCCCTTTTCCTTCCTTCGTAGCTTCTGGGTCCATGTTTGCCTCAGCACAACCTGGACCTTGCTGGACCATGTTTGCTGACCTCCTTGTTCTCTTCCATCATGTGTCTTCTGAATCTTCCATTATTGTGTCAACCCTGGAAATGCTCTTGTCTGAATTTCAAGGCCATGCCTACAGTTCAGAAGAGGTAGTGTCTTACTTTTGTATCTAACGGGTTCCCAAAAATGTGTTTGAAAGTTGAACAATAGATTTGCATGTTGTAAGGAAGAATTTGTTCTCAATTCTAGCTAAAGTATATGATGAAATCCCTAATTATGGTTTCTGCCAGTGCCACCTCCCTCAGGCCTTGGCAACCCTGTGGGTGGGTGAGAACAGGCACATGGCTGCAGTGGGTGGCAACTGCCAGTCGTTGTGGGCTGAGGAAGTTAATCCAGGAATCTCTCCTTCCAAGACTTAGCCCTCCTTCCCTCAGCCCACCCTTAAAGGGCAAGGGCTGGAGTAGAGGGTCTGGTTCTTTTTTTTTTGAGACAAAGTTTTGTCCTCTGTCACCCAGTTTGGAGTGCAGTGGCTCAATCTCAGCTCATTGCAACCTCCACCACCTGGGTTCAATCTATTCTTTTGTCTCAGCCTCCCACATACTGAGATTACAGGTGCCCACTACCATGTTTGACTAATTTTTTTGTATTTTTAGTAGAAATGGGCTTTCACCATGTTGGCCAGGCTGGTCTCGAACTCCTGACCCCAAGTGATCTGCCTGCCTCAGCCTCCCAAAGTCCTGGGATTACAGGCATGAGCTACCATGCCCGGCTGAGGGCCTGGTTCTTAACTTACCTCCAAGAATAATCACATGTGACACCCATGAAGTGGTGGAAATGGCGTTGGTGGATATGGGCAGAGTACTGTAGTGGTTGGGGCTGGTCAAAGGACGCCCTCAGGAATGTTGGTCCTGTGTGAGCTGGCAAACTCCAGGCTCCCTGGCCATGATCTCTGGAGTGCTGTCTGGTAGCACTGGCCAATGGAGACTTATCTCTGGCACTGTAGCAAGGAGGTGCTGGAAAATTCTTCTGTTGTCTTAACTGGAGCCTAGCCCCTTCTCCCAGTAGCTGTAGCTGCCTGGCATGAGATCATTCTATCAATAATCTAAGATAATTTAGCAAAGATTGAATTTTGAGTATAAAAGATTTATAGATGCTAGTGTTTAATTTTTGATAGTGTGATATCCTGATTATGTATGGTGGCATAGCATACTACTCCAAAACTTAGTGTCTTAAAACCACATTTTAATTATCTCACAAGTTCCTGGGTCAGGAATTTGATCAGTGCTAGGCTGGGTGATTCTTCTGCCTCACATGGCATTAACGGTCTGGTGTGGGCTGAAGAATCCAAGATGGCTTCCCTCACATGCTTTGTGTCTTGATAGGAATGGCTGACAGGCTTTGGGCCCCTCTCCCTCTCAATGTAGTCTTAGAGCATCTCTACCTGTTCTCTTTAGAAGGCCAGCTGGACTCTTACACAGTGGGTCACTCATGACTCTGCCGGTTATTTTAGAGACTAGGGTTGGAATTGGCATGGTACCAATTCTGTCATACTCCACTGGTCAAAGCAGTCACAGGACAGCCCAGAATCAAGAATGATAGAAACAGATTCCTTCTCCATAGGAGAGAAGTGTCAAAGAATTTGGAGCCATCTTTGATCCACCACATGGGGATTGCATACATATAAAATGTGTGTAACTGAAGCAACAAAGAAAATATGTCCAAGAAACATATTTCCTGTCTTTCCTAGGTAGGAATCACAGTTTTCCCAAGGGAAGTAGGGGCATCAGAAGGACTCCTTTTTCTGCTGTCACCCAAGGCAAATGTTTTGCTAAAGTAGGGCAATATTGAGGTTTGTTTCCCTCGTCATGCTTTTAGTTCAAAATACAGCTCTTGTTAAAGTGCTTAGGCACTCTGCTGGTAGGTGCACTGGAAAAGCATAAGTGGATAACATCTGAGGATACTTTGGAGATGATATTGGCAAATTTCCAAAGGAAGAATTGGGAACATTTCTTGTTTTCTCCATTGTATCACGCAGCTGTGCCAATGACTAAACAAGCAATGGATTATGCAGGTTTTGAAAACTTTTCAGGTTTTTCTTTCTGTCTACAGCGGAGCGGGGAGGGGGTGAGAACTGGTTTTTTAAGTCTAACTTAACTGCATTTAATTTTTTTTGGTCTCTAAGTTTGATATGCAAGATTTCAGCAAAAGCTTTAGTAAAAATAATAGCAATATATTATGTTGCTTATTATCGTAGACATGATATAATACTGGCAGCATCATGGGGTCCTTTTTCAGGCACTCATTTAACTAATTCATTTTTGAAGAGATAATATGAGTACATAGTACAAATTTTAAGGCAACAATAGGACACGGAATAATAATCTTCCCCTGCCCCCTGATTCCTATTCCTGAGTCCCTCATGTCCCTTCTTCAGAGACAATTGTTCTTTTTTGTATATCCTTCTGGATAAATTATTCTTTCTTTTTTTTTTTTTTTGTTTGAGATGGAGTCTCACTCTGTTGCCCAGGCTGGAGTGCAGTGGCACAATGTTGGTTCACTGCAACCTCTGTTTCCCAGGTTCAAGAGATTATCCTGCCTCAGCCTCCCAAGTAGCTGGGATTACAGGCATACGCCACCACAGCTGGCTAACTTTTCTACTTTTAGAAGAGATGGGGTTTCACCATGTTGGCCAGGCTGATCTTGAACTCCTGACCTTACGTGATCTGCCCACCTTGGCCTCCCAAAGTGCTAGAATTACAGGTGTGAGCCACTGTGCCCTGCCCTTTCAGACAAACTCTATACATATACAAATATCCACTCTTTATATGTGTGTGTGTGCATGTGCACATGTGTGTCTGTGTGTATAATTGTAGGATACCTGATTATATATCCTTTTTGCTCACAAACAGAATCATACTGTATACAGTTTGTACCTTGCTTTTTCATGAAATGATGTATTGGAAGTTGTTCTGTGTCAGTAAATATAGATTAACTTCTTTTTTTCCCCAAGAGCTACATAGTATTTTATTGCATCCTCCTCCTCTTTTTTTTTTTTTTAAAACAACAACAACAACAACAAACTAGTCTCCAGTTGATGGTTATCTAGGTTATTTCCAACCTGTTGCTATTATGAATAACATCAGAACGTATAGTCTTAGGCATGCATATTTTTGCATATGTGCAGCTATATCTAGAATGGGATTGTGGAGTTGAGGAGTATGAATATTGCAATTTTGATATCTATTACACATGATCCTTCATAGAGATTCTATTCATTTACATTCTGCCACTCAGCTTTTGTTTTACATTCTGGGGACTGCCAGCTGAATTTGTTCTGAGGGGGTCAAAGGTTAAGAAACGAGCTGTAAGATTGAACAAGAAAAGATCCATATTTGTGTTTTAACATCAGCCTTTATTTTACGAGATTTCTAAGTAGCTTACTAAATATCCTGACAAAATGGGCCAGCATCAGATAGTCCTTGCCAGGAGAAAGCCTGTCCCATGGAAGAATGAGAAGTCTGGACTTGGAGGGGTAAGAATCTGCTTCTAGTCTGACATTGTTAGAACTCACTGGTGGATCTTGATTAAGCCAATTATCCTTTCTTTGACCTCAGTTTTCTTATTTGTCAAATGAATATTTGTAGTAGATGATCTTAGAAGAATCACTGGATCCAAAATTATTCGGTTCTATGAAAATCCTTTCACTTTTTATAATGTAATAAAAAGTCCTATACAGGAATAGTTGCATAACTTGCAAATCCCTGTGCAAAATGAAAATGCAGGTCCCCTATTCAAAAAATATGAAATATTTAAAGATGGCCACAGCAGAGCGTTTACCCAAGTGTGGGCCCTTTTGAGCAGAGGAACCCTGTGTAACTAACTGCACAGGTGGTAAGTCTGCAAAGCTGGTCCTTCTCCTATAAAGACTCTTGCCACCAAATCAGTAGTTCATCTGTTCTTAAGTATTTGGTGGCCGCTTGACAGACATGTGCTTGAAATTCCCACAACCTTTCCTAAGGAAAGCTGCCTTGGTACACAGCCCCTTGTGGAAGGAAGTAGCCCTAACCTGTACGTCGTGCAGTAGACTCCTGATGATTGGACCAGAGGCAGCCACCTGACCCAAGGGCAACCAGTTCATAGGCTGGCAAGTAGCTTGAAGGGCGATCTGACAGGAAAAGCTCTGACCAGTGGGAATTAGGTAATTACGTTGATGAAACAGACGCTCTGGAATTTGAGCTGAGAAATAATGGAGAGGATCAGCCAGCTGGACTGGGGCTTAGGGGATTGGTAAGAGTTGGGGGCGGGTAGGTAGAGAGAGAAGAAGCCACATATATTGTCATGTGTAATTGAACAGTGAACCCTCATTACTTGAGGTAGCCTAAGTGAATTGATTTCTGTCCTTTGTAACCCAAAAAGCATAATTAATCCAGTGTTATGCCAGACCATAGCTTCAGCGTGTTAGTGATTAAGCCATCCAGGGAGTATGCATTAAGAATAATCAAAAGTATGGAAATAGAAAAATATCTCCCAGACCCTGTTTTCTCCTTCATCTGCTGGCTGAGCAGCCTGCGTTGGCCAGG